GTCACAAGGCATTTGTTATAAGAGTTTATTAAAATTCATACTAATACGAATTACGCGTTGCTATTATTTTTCCAAATTCAAGTTGATTAATATCTAAGGTCTAAGGAGTTTAAAGTTGCATTTTTGCAAAGATTATCTGCTATTGTTTTTCCAAACTCAGGCCCGAGTTGATTATCGCAAAGGTTATTCGACTTTTTTGCACTTTAAGTTCAAAATAAATTTTTAGAAACATTTAAGAATGCTTTTATTAAAACAATATTGCATTAATAAAAAAAAAAAAAAAAAAAACAGGTCCCTAATTATTTAAAGAAGCATGATGCCAAATAATTACGCAAATATTTTTATAGTAATGATTTTTTTATTTTTAAATTTTTTTTTTTTAATAAATTTGCTTCTTAGATGATTAAAAGATAATTTTATATTAATTATTTATTTATATAAAATATAAAAATTTAATTAATAGCAACTTTCAAATTACGTTTAACTAAAATATAATTCCAGGCAAATTAATAATCCGAATAAATTCGTATAAATATTTTAATTGACATGTATTGTTTCAATTAGACAAATGTTAAATGAAATTAAATTTTTATTGTATGAATTATTTTATTGAAATGTGCCACATTAATTCATTCGTTTAAATTAATTTACTTATAATCTTTTAGGAAACAATAGTGTTCTCCGCCTATTTTTATCGCAAGAATCCGGATTTTAAAATAACAAAAAATCTCTATATAAATCGCTGTTGTTAAATGACCTTAAAAAGTCTGTAAAATTACTCTCAACATTCATAACAATCTCCAAGATTACAGATATTTTTTTATATATATTTACGTTGTCATTTTAATAAATGAAAATTGAATTTTAATTTTGTATTCTGAAATGTCACAAATCAGTAATTTTTTTCATTGTTATTTAATTGTCAAATGCAAAATCTATTAAATTTTTAATTATTGTTCAATGCAAAATTATTAAAAATAATCAATTTATTTATTAGATATGCTTTGAGCCTCAACAATATTATCCTTAATTGAATAAAATGTTCGTGGGTGAAATCATGTTTATTCAATTCATCACGAAAATTTCCAAAGTATTATCGCATAATAAGTGATTTTATAAAACATCCTTTGTTTAATTCTTTTTCAATTATTTTTTAAGATATTTTAGAAACTGAAATAGAAATAAAGATTTAATCGAATTTGTAATAAATATACAATAAAATTGTAAGTTAGTAAAAATCTTTGGTTTTACTCTATTTTTTACATTATGACAAGTTCAATTTTTACATTCTCTGAAAGAGTATCAGTATACCTTAGTGGTGTTGATAAAAACAATGATGAGTAGTCTGCGCGTGAATTTCGACCTAGTGACAAATCAAATTATGAAGCTTTATTGGCTAATGAAAATGTCATGAAATATTTGTATCAAGAAAAACCATTAGTAGACAAGGAGTTTGAGGATAAAATCAGTGTGTATCAAATAGGACAACCTCAAGGAGCACTAACCATCCTCGATAAACATAGTAATTTTATAGGATTTATAATATCTAAACCTGAAGAAAAAGAAGGAAGATCTGAAATAGCTTATGCGTTATCTAGTGAATACTGGAATAAAGGAATTGGGCAATCAGTATTGAGTAAAATAGTTGAAGTGTGGGGTCCAGAAGTACGTAGGATAGGCTTAGGAGAAGGACTTGATAAATAGAATGAGCAATATCAAAATATTCAAAAAAAAATTTCAATGCTTTAAAGGTAAAGAATTAGAACAATTTAGAGCTACAGTTAGGCCTATAAATGTCAGTTCTTGAAATATCCTTGAGAAAGCTGGCTTTGAACCAGTACAAGCAGATATTTCAATTAATTTTGAAGATAAAGGTTACGAATTACCATCTTTGGATAACGAAAATTCTTTAAAATATTGTAAAAAACTTGAATACTTTATTAATGATCTTTATTTAAAAGAGAAGATAGAAGCTGGAAAACTTTACAGTATAGAGAACTATGAAAAGTTTACATTTTGTAAAAATGATAGAATTAGATTTTGTTACAGAAAAAAGTATAAATAATCAGTGTAGAACTGTAATTCAGTAATTTGTTTTGTTTTTACTCGATTATAATCATGTGATCTCTTGGGTCCATGAAATCATATGACATTTTATTAAACTATCAGATATTATTTTCGAGTTATTGGATTCTTTAATTCAGAAAACAAATTAAATAGTTGTCAAAGAATGCATTCAAAATCAAGTGTATTCAAAATCAATTATCAAACCAAGATTATCAAAACTAATATTGGTATTTTCGAACCGAATAGTGAATGTAGCTAATTTTTTTTATTTTTTATTTTATTTTAATTAACAAATATAACATTAAAATATCATAAATGATTTAATTATTCCATATATCTCGCAAGAAAAATAATAATAAATGCAGATCGAGTTAATATAATTTAATAATAAAATACAGCAAGGTGAATTCTTTATTGATTAACTTGTTATTGGTTTTTTTTTTCAGCATTCGACCCATTATATCTATTTTATTGATATTAGTTTTTTTTTTTTTATTTAAGTTAAACAATAAAACATAGGTTTGAATTTACACACCTGAAAAGTTTATCATTAACAGACATTCACAAATCAAGGAAATATTCTAAAATTTGTGAATTCGTTAGTGTCACGTGATATCTTACTTCGTAATATCTGATGAAGTCAAATGTAATGTCAAAAGTTTTGCCGAAATCTCATGAATGATAAACTTTTCAGGCTTTAGAATCACTATTATAAAGTCATATCTGATAATCTTTCTCGTATAAGCTTTATTTTGTTTGCGTGATGCTCTAAAAAAGGTCAAAAATTTGAACGGGTTATGATAATTGACTAAGAAATTATCTATTTTGAATTATACAATATCGATATCAAATAAATTTTTTATAACCGGCTTTTAAGTTAATATTATATAATTCCGAATATATCCAAGACAAATTTGGCACTAATTTAATGCTAACATAAAAGCCACTCTAATTTAAAGTTCAATTCAATTATTTAAAACCGGATTTACATTCACAAATATCAAGTCACAATAATTAACAATATCAAAACCTGTTCTTACTGTAATTTTAAAAATATTGCAGTAAACTAATTTATTTTTACACAATATATATGGAGTTTATTCTGTACGATTTTAATTTAAAATAAATATATTCCCAGAAAGTTCAAAGTTCTGGAATTACGAACTCATGGTTAGAGATACCCATACTGACTTTGGTGCGGAAAAAAAATGCATACCATTTCAGAATTTTTGTGACCACAATTGGCGATTAATTATTATGATAAAAACACATGTTCAAAGATGACTCTTAGTACATCGTCATTTATTTTGGCCTGAGCTCGCATTTCCGATTTTTCATCTATTTTTGTGAGATCGATGTGGCATTCGTGGGAATTTGAATATATCTTCTGGAAATGAGTTGCCTTGCCTTCTTTCTTCCACCTCGATCTCTTCATCATTATACAAATTAACAACCGCGTAAAATCGTGGCCACGCGTGTTGCTCAATTTCAATTTTTTCTCGTTTGGAAGACGTCTTCAGTCTCTTCGAGATATACTCGTTTTACTGAAAGGTTTGAAAGACATTTTTTAAAAAATTATATTTCGTTTTTTTATTCTAAAGCAATGAACAGGACTCATATTTATAATAATTTTGAATTATGTAGTTTATTGTAAAACTGTAGTTAACTGATATTTAAAATTAACAGTTTTCATCTCTAATAAGAATATACCAAACTTTAATATAATGCAGCAACATCATTTTCACATATATCGATATGCTTATTAATCTTAAAACACTTCGTATCGTAACGTTAATGTTAAATGATATTTATACCGATACATACTATCGGTTGGTATTGATAGAAAAGGTCAAAACTGGTTTTGGTTCAGAACTAGTTTGGAGGGTCTGTTACACGAAGACAACAAGACCGAGACTCGAATTTTTAGAGATTGTACCCGGGTCACTCGCACATTAACCTAAAAATTTATGGCCTACATAAATACCATGAAAAAAATTTCGATATCAATTAATTAGCGTTGGGGTCAGATATATGATGGAATCTTGTACATGGTAGTACAAACATACATACAGTATTTTGCGGACATGCATGCCCGCAATTTCA